CTGTAGTCTGAGAAAACCATTTTTTAAGTTGCCAGGGGGTGCATGCACTTGTCAGAGAGACAGAGACGGGGAGGGGAGAAAGCACTCCCCCAGTGGGGCACGGTCACCCTGCAGTCCTTCCTCCTCCCTTTCTCCGTCCTGTTGGGATTTGGGGCACACACACCAGGACCAGGATTTGAACTGTGCAGCTGCTCCTGGGGGCCTTAACTACCAAGCCACAGGTCTGCTCCAAGAAAACCATTCTTAAGCAGAAAAATAAGAACAGAAAGTCCTATATTTGAGAATGCCAGAGAGACACAAAGGAGTCCCTAAAAGCAACGGCCACCCCTGTCCTGTCCATTTAAATAGCCCTCCGCAGTTTCTGGCACAATGCACTAGGTTGTCAGAAAAGTCATGACACGTCTTTACATAGAAAAACCAATGCGTCACGCCTTTTCGGACAGCCCGAGAGTTAAGAGTGACTGAGCGCATGCGTGAACACGTGTGAGTGAGCGTGCGGATGTGGTGCACCTGCCCACGACTCCTCACGCTGCTCTCACGTCGGGAGGAGATTGACCTGCATGTTATGTTCCAAGAACCGGGTGAGCACGCGGACCGCCAGCACACTCTGGGACACCCCGCCACCTCAGCCCTGTGGTTCACACATTCCACATCACAACTCGTGACCGGCAGGCAGTGGTGCAGTGCCACAGACTGGCCCACGTGAGAACGGTCCTGGGTTCTTGTCCTGGGACCTCTGTATGCCAAGCACGCGTGTGCACGCCTGCAATCCAGGCTGGCTGGCACCGGAGGTGGACAGCGGTGAGAAGACCCTGTGGGGGAGCTGTTTTCTCTCTTTTTCTCTCTCTGTGTCTCTCGTGGAATTTATAAATCGATCAATCACTAGAGGATTCATAACACCAGATACAATAATTTGCAGGATCGGCGCCAGTGAGCTGAGCTCTGCTCTGAAAGCTCACTTGACCCAGACCCCAGACCCTGGCCCATCACACAGAGCGGAGCTGCCCCCCCCATTTCCTTCCCCATTCTCTGTCCACATCTTCCTGTCTGTGCCCTCAGGGGGCTGAACAGTCGGGCAGCAGGAACAGAAAACAAGGACGTGAAGTTTTAATTTTAAAGAATGATGAGAAAACAATAATTTACACTGGTGATAACTTGAGAAAATTTCCACTGTTTTGCATTACAGAGAAAATCTGTCTTGAATAGGATGTCAACAAAGTATGAAATATCTCACAAAACAGATGCACCCCAGCCAGGATGGCCATTTCCATTTTTATTGGACATATTTACTAAACTCACTCACACCGTGGAACTACTCATACATAATTCTGATGAGCTGTTACCCCCATCGGCCTTTGACGCTGATGCATTTCCTGTAAAATGACATTGATAGAATGTCAGTCACCTTGAAGGCTAGAGGCAGGCCATTCTAGGGCTTTATCCTCCCTTGCGAAACAAGCTAGGCCTTAGTTAAGCAGCCAGTGTGAAGGCAAGGCTTCCTCTTTACAAAGACTGTCTTTCTGCCTGGGAAGGGCCCTACTCCCTTTAAGACCTCATTTCCATCTGAAGAGTGCTATTCCCAAACTGCTTCTTGCCCTTATTTCCAGGGTCCATGGATTCTCTCTGGGACCCACTCCCAGCCCAGCATCAGTTAATAAGCATTCCCAAAGGGGGCCCCAGCTGCCTGGTGCTCCCTGAAGTTCACATTGAACACTGAAATGGAGCAGTACCTCCCTTTCCATCAGGGACAGTGGGACTGTCACCATCCGGAGGCTGGAGAACTGTGACTTCAATATGTGGTGGCTTTGGATTCAACACAGACTCCATTTAATCCCGCGGCCCTGAGTCCTAATCCGATATGCCCAACATGCGGATGGCAGGGCCAGGCTGGGAGCCAAGGCTGAGCTCTGGTTGCTGGCGGGCAGGTGGGCTTCGGGACACAGACAGGGCTGATCAAGGGCAACAAGGAATTGAAGTACTTTCACAACATTTACACAGATTTAAATGTAAAGTACAACCCTTTTAAATGTGCTTTATACCTTGTGATTTTTAAATCTCACCATTTTTGTCCTCCTGGCACTTAGACAACTCATAAGAAACCACCATATGGATGAAAAATATATTTATAAAATCCTGTGATGGATTTCCAACCCTTTCAACATTTCTGCACCAAAATCAACTCTAATTTCATTCTTTGCAGATTTTTTTGAAGTCCCCTTTTGTAAACACACACACAACGGTCCATTTAAATTAATTCCTCCCTCCCTGAAAAGCACTAAGAGTCAATCTGTAAAAAAAGACAAAAACATCCCCTGATACATCAAATGTGCAGTCTGAGTTGAGGCACGTTCTCACTAGCTCGCTCTAGGGGTAATGGCTCTAAAGGACATTTAGAATTTCATTGGAATTTTAAAACGAGTCCAGTGCTACTCATTGCCCCTGTTCGCCCCTACCCTACAGCTCCTAAAAAGGTCTATGAGGCAGAGCGGACCTCCGGGAGCATGGGGAAGGGGGTGCTGCGCGTGCGCAAGGACAGCCTTGCTGACCTTTGTGGGGCTGGGACAGCAGCAAGGACTTTTATCAGGGCGCCCCGACAGTCGCAGGCAGAAGACGAGTCCAAACTAACAGAATACAGATTTAAAAACTTACGAATTCAGATTCTGAGAAAATTGGAAACCTGAAAAGAAAGAATGTTCAATGATACACGCTCGGCTTAAAACTCCGGCCCTTGGGGAGCCAAGGGTGACAGGCGTGCCGAGTCTAGACTGTCAGGGCCAGGCAGACAGCTACTTTAATCCCTCTGGCCAGGGTGAACATAGAAAAGACAGTTATTCCAGATTAATCAGGGGAAAAATCCTATTTCTTCAGGGAATGACATTAATGAGACTCCCAGGAAATAAAGGCAAAAACTCTAAATAAACATCTTGACTAGTTTAAATAAGAGAATTTGCATTTAAAACAAAGAATTAATTATGTGCAGACCAAGGCAAATAACTAGCTCTCTGCAGAGGAAAAACATGCCCTTGAATAAAAAGATAACAACCGGAACTTGTAAATTACAGTTTTTATTTATTTGTTTTAGCTGAAAAGCAATCCACTATTTCTTAGGAAATTCTATCCTCCTAAATTGTGTGTTCTAGATGCCAAATGCAATGGTAACTTTACCATTTTATTAAGCATATCTCTTGAACACTTAAAAAAATGTCTCACTGAGCAACAGGAAGCAAAACTAAAAAAGCCAAAGGATCCCGCAGGACAGCGGCCACACTCGGTCCAGGTCCCCAGCAGACACCAGCCTCTAGGCAGGAAAAAGGCTCGACCCTAAGTCTTGAGTTTCGTCCCAAGAGTTACAAATTTGTATTTCTACCAAGGATGACAGAAATCACACTATATGGAAACATTTCTAGTAACAGGCTTAAAGTGCACTGCGAAGCTTTGACTTACACGGTATTTCAGCTGCCAAGGCTAAAGGATTTGTCCTGGTGCTATTTCTGAGTCTCATTTGGAACACAATAGTGCTTTTTTATTCCATCCTCACACCACCACGTGGGACCCCTGGGGTTCCTGGAAGGTGGATGGACTGAGTGGGCTGGGAGCAGGCAGAGTCCACTGACCCGGGACTACACCACCACGTGGGACCCCTGGGGTTCCTGGAGGGCGGATGGACTGAGTGGGCGGGGAGCAAGGAGAGTCCCCTGACCCGGGCCTGACTGAAGAGGAGCTTCAGCGACCAGCCCTTTGTTGTACGAACACGCAGGCACAGCACACGCGGCAGAGTCAGGCGGAGAGCGAATTAACTGCCAGACTTCTGTAAAATGCTCACACTGACCATAGAGGACTTACCATGGCGTAGGACTGGTCTGTTTTTATAAAAAGGACATGGTTTAGAAGCGATCTATCCAATACGGCAGCCACTAGCACGTGTGACTAATGAAATCTAATTTTTGAATTGTCAGTGGGTGTGTCTATTTGCCAAAGAGAGAGCGAACAAGAAAGCGCCCCAGTGAGGGCATGGTCACGCCACCACCCCTTCTCTGTCGCCCTTCCGTCTGGGGTCGTGGGTACGTGCACACACACTAGCATATTGTCCAGTCCACTGGAACTCAAACTGCGGTTGGCCATGTGGGATCCAGCTCCCGGAACCACCAGGCTACAGCGCTGGCTCAACATCTAATTTAACTGAAGAGTTCATTTTCCTGGTCGCGCCAGCCACATTTCAGGTGTGCAATGGCCACTAGCGGCTCGTGGCTGCGGTCAGTACAGACGCAGACGGCACCACACCAAAGCCCAGGGCGAAAGGAGACAGGTGGGGAACGGGGCGTGGGCTCAGCTATGAGACCCACACGTAGGCCCAGCCGTCCCGCTGCTCTCAGGTAGGAATTTCTTCTTTTAATCGGAAAGAACTCCCACGGGTATCCAAAAGTTTCCTTTGCCCTAAAGATGTGGGCATGCCGGCTAGCTGGGAGGCTAAGCGCCTCGGGTATACGGTCTTGCCAGGCCTCAGGAGACCTGCCGGGGAGGGCGAGACGGCAATCCCCGTGTGCAGACAGAGGCGAGGTTAGTGAGGTCCACCCCAAAGGGCACAGCGCACGCCCGGTCCTCAGTGCACCTTCTCTCACTAAAGCCTTTCTTACGGCTGCCAGGAAGCCCACGTGAGATGGAGCGAGAGCGCCTAGACGCAGCGTGGCCACCCACCGCAGGTGCCGCAGCACGAGTGGACCGCTGGCTCTTAACTGGCCGCCACCTCGCACTGGCATGTGTCCCCCATGTGGAGCATGGCCGGCGTGGGAGATGAGAGCCGTGTTCCTTTTCTACTCCATCCCTTCCCTGCCTTCTGCCTCCCCACGTCCGGGCTACGAGAGCCCTTTCTCGTCACGCACTTCTCCTGGCAGGCTCTGAGAACACCCCAGACCCATCCCCACACCGGGTGGACGTGTCCCGGCCTCCCCACGTCCGTCCCGACCTCACAGACATTCTGCTCACCAGTGACCCCACATCACGGAGCGTCACCCTCGTTGTGTAGAGCACGCGGGTCGTCTGCTGAAGGCTGAGGTGGAGCTATGGCGAAGGACCGGTCCTCGTGGACGAAGGCTCGCTGGCCAGGACCCAGATGGCCCCGGGTTTGTACCAGCTCGGCCTTCGGTGGCCCACGAGAGCATGTGGACCAGCTACTGCACACCACAGATCTCTGAGGGCACCCTCTCTGCTGCCAGCTCGGCCACAGCGCGGTCTGCAGGCCACTGCCACGCGGCGGGAAGGGCACCGTGGCC